CTTCCGATCATCAGCTCAGCAATATCCCCACTTACATCTTCATGACTTCGGGTGCCGGTTTCTTATCATCCTTCCTTTACTTGCCAACCCTTCATAAAACCATTCCAAAAAGCTTCAAAGACCTTAACAACGCTCTTCTAGACATCCCTGGATTGCCTCAGCCAATTCCTTCCTTGGATATGCCAAAACTAGTTCTCGACCGTAGAGATAAGTCCTATGAATACTTTCTCGAGTCCACAATCTGCTATCCAAAATCAGACGGAATCATTATAAACACCTTTGAGGCATTGGACACTCAAGCTCTCAAAGCCATATCGGACGGATTATGCGTGCCGGATGCTCCCACGCCGCCGCTATACTGCATTGGACCATTGATTACTTCCAAGGAGACAAAAGGATCACTATCAGAGTGCTTAAAATGGTTGGACTCACAACCAAGACAAAGCGTGGTTTTTCTCTGCTTCGGAAGCTTAGGCTTGTTCTCCAAAGAGCAACTGCAGGAAATAGCGGTGGGTTTGGAAAGGAGTGGCCAGAGGTTCTTGTGGGTGGTACGAAATCCGCCGCCGTCGCAGAAGAACCAAAGCGTGGCTTGGTCGGAACGGGACTTGGATTCATTACTCCCACAAGGGTTCTTGGATCGGACGAAAGACAGGGGATTGGTGGTGAAGAACTGGGCCCCACAAGTGGACGTCCTGCGTCATGACTCGGTGGGCGGGTTCGTGACTCACTGCGGGTGGAACTCGATTCTTGAGTCGATCTGTGCCGGTGTGCCGGTGGTGGCGTGGCCGCTCTATGCGGAGCAGAGGCTGAATAGGATAGTGCTTGTTAACGAAATCAAGATTGCTTTGCCCATGAACGAGTCGGACGACGGGTTCGTGAGTGCAATTGAAGTTGAAAAGCGGGTTACTGAGTTGATGACGAGCTCAGAAAGCAGGGACTCGGTACGGAAGCGAGCGTTAGCAATGAAGCAAGAAGCCAGAGCTGCTCTGAGCGACGGTGGCTCGTCCCGAGCGGCATTGACAAAACTCACTGAGTTGTGGACAAAATAATTTCCTCTCTAGATACTAATGATACAGAAATGGGTACAAGGAATTCATGAATAAAGGTTCTCAAGCGTAAAGCGTTTTTTTTCATGTTTTTTTAGGTATAATTAGTTGCCTTATGTTTCTTTTAATCCACGAATTAAGTAATAGACTTTTTTTTTCTCTATTTTCACCTTGCATCACAATGTTTTCAGTAAATGCGAAACTAAATCTAGTGGTTCAGAGCGGAAGACAATGTGACCCTCGTGAGAATATCGAAGTTAATTATAATTTGTGATAAGTTTGGCTTCTTAGTGATAATAATTAAAGAAATATATGGGGAATAGCTTCCTGCAATTTGGGAAAACGATAAAAACTTGTCTTTCTTTTTTTCTTTTTTTTTTTTTTTTTTTGCTTTTCTATCGTTCTTTTGTTTAATTTGAAAGGATTCAAAACATACAATATAATACTTGCATTTTTTTTAAAGCAATCATATATGTTTGTAGAGGTTTGAAACCACTCTTAGAGCAACTCTAATCATACTAGACATTTCATGTTTTTTGTTAAAATAATTAATAATTTTACTTTTTTCTTTAATACTTTTTTTCACTCTAATCATTCGTTAAATGACAAGCTATTTTGGAGAATGTCTATCACACTAGCTAAACGGTTCCTATTGAGATTTTAATAATTTAATGGACAGAAGGGCATGATTTAAACATGCCCTCTATTTTTTCGTTGAACATCTATTTTGGAACAATTGACAAGTCATGAGTCGTTTTTTGACATTTAAATTAAAACTTAGAGACCTTTTATTTTTCAATTATTTTTTAGTATTCTATTATTTATTACATATATCTATTATTTAGACAGAATACCGTCACCCACTCTTACTAAGAAACTAAAAGAAGCAAAAGAAAAGGGGGGAAAGTGAGGAAGAAACAAGTGTTGAAAAAACTTCACAAACGAAGGGAACTAAATAGGAACAAAAAGGATCTTCCAAAGAAGATCCGTCTCCCGAGTTGCGTTAACCAAACTCAGTGAGCTGTGGAAGCGTGGCTGAGTTGTCAGATATTGGGACATAAGCTACAAAATAATTTCCTCTCTAGACACTAATAATAAGATAGAAATAGTTGCGAGGAATGCATGAATAAAGTTTTTCAGACGTAAAGCCTTTTTATATTTTGAATGCATGAATAATAAGATAGAAAAAGCCTTTTCATATTTTGAATGTTTTTTAGGTCTAGTTAACTGCCTTCTGTTTATTTTGGTCAACGAATTAAGTACTATACTTTTTGTATTTTTACCACGTATTCACATAGTTGCTAAAGACTTAAAGTTTGTAAGTTAATCTATATCTTAAAAAGTAGATGAGAAAAGGAGATGAAAGAGGAGGAGTTTAATGAATTTAAAAAAAAAAAAGTAACTGAGGTTAATGGAATAAATAATTTCATGGAGTTTCGAGGAGGGCTTCGCGTCAGTTATTGATCATTTTCATTAAGCTGAGTGTTTAAAAATTATTAGAGGAGTAGAATAGTAGACATGAAAAAGAGACAGATCTAAGTTTAGGTCTCGTTCATCTCATTAATTTGAGTTTTTAATTTTAAACTTACTACAACTAAAAACTCTTATAAAAAGTCACATTTAACTTTTCTTGTTACAGTTAAAATTATGACATAAAGTTACATCTCAACTCGAATTAACGAACTAAATGATACCTTAATACGTTGGGAACGTCCCCCACTAACAAAAAACAAACAAGAGCCAGCCATACGTGCTTGTCTTGGGCTTTTGTTAAGGAATCTATATTCGCCTTTTTTTTTCCCTTTTTCTAATCTCAATTTGTATTAGTAGTCTATGGTTTTTTAGTCTTTCTCCTCTTTTTATTATATTGTTTTTGAGTTTACTCACATGCAAATGATTTCCCTTTTTTTTTTTTAATTTTTGAAGCCATCCTCTTTATTTTTATTCATTCCCCTTTCTTCTCTCCCTATTCTTTTTCTTTTATCTATCTCTTTTTCTTCTCTTTATTTTCCATAAATCCCGTACCACTATCTTTTTTTTTTTCTCTCTTCCATCTCATATTCTTTCTTGTCACTTTCATTCCTTTAGCTTTATTTTTTAATATTTATATATCAAAAGTTCAGATGCTTCTTCAAATTTTTATCTTCAATAGCCTGGTATGTGAACTTATATTTAGTAGTAGTATCTTTTAGAGTTATGAGCACTCTTAATTTTAGGAGGTTAATTTAATTTTGATGTTTGAGTTCAATTTTCATATACATAATATTATTAGTAATATGCATACTATGTGCAATAAAAATTAATCTTCAAGAAAATTTTGAAGTTTTGCTTCATTTTGTTATATTTTTTATTTTTATTCATTCCCCTTACTAAATCCAGATCTTAAATCCGTCAATATACGTGCGTTTTTACGTCTTTCTTATTATATTTAGTTAGACTTTTAGTAAATTTACCACAAGTTGCATTTTTTAAAACTATCTGGATATATATGAATAAGTCTATAAATAACCAACTAGTTTAGTAGGCGTTACAAATCCCTTTTCTTCTCTAATATTCGTAATTGATGAAGACGCAAACACACTATTTTGCTAGAATGACTCAACAATTCTAGTTAAAAGGAGTTTGTAATGAAGAAGGAAATAAAAAATTTATTCTATTAATTAAATTGATTTGTATCTTCATGGGGAAGCTTTTTTGGGGGATAAATTTGTTTAAAGAGTTTATTTTCTTTAACTTTTAATGAGAATAATTTTCGTTTTTATATTATCTTTACTTGTGCTTTAAGTAAATAAAAACTTTAATTAAGTAGTGTCTTTTAAAATACCTGGATATATGTATAACGTAGATATTTATATAAATAAATTTGCGAATGAGCAAACTAGTGTAGTGGGTATTACAAACTATTTTTTAATATTCATAATTGAAAAAGACACCAGTCACCAAACACATTATTTTTTGGTATGAGTACCCGTCTCAAAAATTTTAGTTGAAAGGAAAATAAGGGGCAAAAAAAAAAAGAAGGAAATAAAAAAATTGATTCTATTAATTAAATTGCTTTGTGTATCTTAAGGAAGCACTCCAACCTTTTTCTAAATAAATGATGGGAAAGGTGTATAATTTTTCAACTCTCCTCTCCCGATAGCCTTCGGACTTCCATCGATACTCTGTTGACCCAAAAATAAATAAAATAAACTCCCGACTTCGATAACATAAACACCCAACCTATTCTTAACCAGCCAAACTTTGAGGTAATGCCGTTTAGACGTTTAGTTGACTAACGCTTTACCACTTATATGATAATAAAACTACCCTTTAGTTAGGTATACACGTGAGCTTTATCATTTTTTCTTTATAAAATAAAATAAACAAATAAATATGTTTTCCTGACGAGCCGGTATTAAGTATTAATCACATATATATAATAACATATCTCTAATATGTATTACATAGTTTATATAAACGACAGCTTTCGCACAAGATCAGCATTCCTTTTCATATAGGATTCGGTGGTGATATTGGTGCGTTTAAAATTGATTTTTACTTATTTTTAAAAATGTTTTTACACATTTTTTTAAGACACGGAAATAAAAACGGTATGTAAACCGTATTTGTTTAGTAAATATTTTGAAAACAAAAAATAATAAGAATAGTTTTTGTGAATGAATTTAGAAAACAATTAAGAATTACTTTTCTTTTTTTGTTTTTATTTTTTAATACTTATCAATAATATTATAATATATTAATTAATAATTATAATTAAATACCATTTTTTTTATTATACTCAAAACAATATCTTAAAAAACTAACCAAATACAATTAATCTTATTTATACTTTTGTATTAAAAACAAAATCATTTTGAAAATTTTACCAAACCCGCCCATTACTTCGTCTTCTGCAATAATGTGGCCCAACAAAATCATTTTAAAGATTCCAAAATAATCTTATTTATACTTCATCTTCTGTAAGGAAAGAATCAATTAACGTTGAACGAGAGATCATATGAAATTTCTACGCTGCATCCCTCGTTAAATATATATATATATATATAGAGAGAGAGAGAGAGAGAGAGAGAGAGATAGGGAGAGAGAGAAAGAGACAGAGAGAGAGAGAGAAAGAGCAAGCCACTGGAGAAGCTTTACACCTGAAGTGCGCCATGGAGGCAATAGTTCTATACCCATCACCAGCCATCGGCCACCTGATCGCTTTGGTCGAGCTGGGAAAGCTTGTTCTCACTTTGAAACCTTCACTCTCCATTCATATCATCATGACCACTGCACCTTACAACGCCGGCGACACCTCCGCCTACATCGCCAGCGTCTCCGCCACCACTCCTTCCATTACCTTCCACCACCTCCCGCCCATCTCCCTCCCTCCTGAGCTCTTGACCGCCTCGGTCCACCACGAAGCCCTAATGTTCGAAGTCCTCCGCATTAACAAACCTATTGTGGCTGAAACTCTGCGTTCCATCTCTCAAAACCACACCGTTCATGCTTTCATCATGGACTTCTTCTGCGCTAGCATTATCAATGTCTTCTCCTCCGATCAACAACTCAAAACTATCCCTACTTACGTCTTTATCACCTCGGGTATCGGTTTCTTAGCATCTTTCCTTTACTTTCCAACCCTTCATGAAACCATCCAGAAGAGCTTCAAAGACCTTAACAACGCTCTTCTAGACATCCCCGGATTGCCGCAAATTCCTTCCTTTGATATGCCAAAACCACTTCTAGACCGCACTGATAACGCCTATAAATACTTTCTCGAGTCCACTACCTACTATCCAAAATCAGATGGAATCATCGTAAACAGTTTTGAGTCATTAGAGCCTCGAGCCGTCAAAGCCATATTGGACGGATTATGCGTGCCGGACGCTCCCACGCCTCCATTATACTGTATTGGACCATTGATTACCGCAAAAGGGAAAAAAGGAACAGAATTCGAGTCCTTAAAATGGTTGGACGCGCAACCAAGAGAAAGCGTGGTTTTTCTTTGTTTTGGAAGCTTAGGCTTGTTCTCGAGAGAGCAACTTAAGGACATAGCGGTTGGCTTGGAGAGGAGCGGTCAGAGGTTCTTGTGGGTGGTGCGAAATCCGCCTCCGAAGAAAGACCAAAGCGTGGTGATCTGGGACTCACCGGATCCGGACTTGGATTCGTTACTCCCACAAGGGTTCTTGGATCGGACAAAAGGCAGGGGATTGGTGGTGAAGAACTGGGTCCCCCAGGTGGAGCTACTGAATCATGGCTCGGTGGGAGGGTTCGTGACTCACTGCGGATGGAATTCCGTGTTGGAATCGATCTGCGCCGGCGTGCCGATGGTGGCGTGGCCAATCTATGCGGAGCAGAGGTTCAACAAGGTAGTGCTTGTTGAGGAAATCAAGATTGCTTTACCCATGAACGAGTCGGAAGACGGGTTTGTGCGTGCCAGTGAAGTTGAGAAGCGGGTAATTGAGTTGATGACGAGCTCAGAAAGCAGTGACTCAGTTCGGAAGCGCGCATTATCAATGAAGGATGAAGCCAGAGCTGCTCTGAGCGACGGTGGCTCGTCCCGAGTTGCGTTAACCAAACTCAGTGAGCTGTGGAAGCGTGGCTGAGTTGTCAGATATTGGGACATAAGCCACAAAATAATTTCCTCTCTAGACACTAATAATAAGATAGAAATAGTTGCGAGGAATGCATGAATAAAGTTTTTCAGACGTAAAGCCTTTTCATATTTTGAATGCCCGAATAATATGATAGAAAAAGCCTTTTTATATTTTGAATCTTTTTTAGGTCTAGTTAACTACCTTCTATTTCTTTTGGTCAATGAATTAAGTACTGGACTTTTTCTATTTTTACCATGTGTTCACATTGTTGTTAAAGACTTAAAACTTTGCAAGTTAATCTATATTTTAGAAAGCCTATGAGAAAAAGAGATGAAAGAGGAGGAGTTTAATGAAACTAAAAAAAAAAAAAAGTAACTGAGGTTAATGGAATAAACAATTTTAGAAAGTCTATGAGAAAAGGAGATGAAAGAGGAGTTTCATGAATTTTTTTTTTAAAAAGTAACTTAGGTTAATGGAAAAAACAATTCATGGAGTTTAGAGGAGGGCTTCACGTCAGTTGGTGATCATTTTCATTAAGCTGATGTGTTAAAAAATTATTACAAGAATAGAGTAGTGGCCATGAAAAAGAGACAGCTCCAATCTTTGGCATGGTTTAATTTACCGATTTGAGTTTGTAGTTTTAAATTTACCACAGTTAAAAATTCTTATAAAAAGTTAAATCTAACTTTTTCTGCTACAGTTAAAAACTCTCACATAAAATTACATCTTAATTCGAATTAAAAACTCAAATTAACGAACTAAACGAGACCTTAGTACATTGAGAACGTCCCCCACAAACAAAAAACAAACAAGAGCCAGCCCTACATGCTTGTCTTTGTGCTTTTGTTAAGAATCTATATTCGCCTCTCTCTCTTTTTTTTTCCCTTTTCTAATCTCAATAATTTGTATTAGCAATCTATAGTTTTCTGTCTTTCTGCTCTTTTCAATAATTATTTCTCCTTTTTTTATTCTTTTGTTTTTGAGTTTACTCATATGCAAATGATTTTTCTTTTTTAAAATTTTTTTTTTGAAGCCATCCTCTTTATTTTTATTTATTCCCCTTTCTTCTCTCCCTATTCTTTTTCTTTTTCTTTTATCTATCTCTTTTTCTTCTCTCCATTTTCCATAAATCCCGTACCACTGTCATTTTTTTTCTCTTCCATCTCATATTCTTTCTTGTCACTTTCATTCCTTTAGCTTTATTTTTTAATATTTATATATCAAAAGTTACGGATGCTTCTTAAAATTTTTATCTTCAATAGCCTGGTATGTGTGAACTTATATTTAGTAGTAGTATCTTTTAGAGTTATGAGCACTCTTAATTTTAGGAGGTTAATTTAATTTTGATGTTTGAGTTCAATTTTCATATACATAATATTATTAGTAATATGCAAACTATGTGCAATAAAAATTAATCTTCAAGAAATTTTTGAAGTTTTGCTTCATTTTGTTATATTTTTTATTTTTATTCATTCCCCTTACTAAATCCAGATCTTAAATCCGTCAATATACGTGTGTTTTTACGTCTTTCTTATTATATGTAGTTAGACTTTTAGAAAATTTACCACAAGTTGCATTTTTTAAAACTATCTGGATATATATGAATAAGTCTATAAATAACCAACTAGTTTAGTAGGCATTACAAATCCCGTTTCTTCTCTAATCTTCGTAATTGATAAAGACGGAAACACACTATTTTGCTAGAATGACTCAACAATTCTAGTTAAAAGGAGTTTGTAAAGAAGAAGGAAATAAAAAATTGATTCTATTAATTAAATTGATTTGTATCTTCATGAGGAAACACTTCAGGCTTTTTTTGGGGGATAAATTTGTTTAAGTTGTTTGTTTTCTTTAATGTTTAATGAGAATAATTTTCCTTTTTATCTTATCTTTAATTATATTTTAATTAAATTTACTTTAATAAAGTAGTGTCTTTTAAATTACCTGGATATATGTATAACGTACACATTTATGTAAATAAATTTGCGAATGAGCAAACTAGTGTAGTTGGTATTACAAACTTTTTTTAATATTCATAATTGAAAATGACAACAGTCACCAAACACATTATTTTTTGGTATGAGTACCCGTTGATGAGTGAGTTTTACTCGCTCATTTAGTATTGTTTTACACTTAATATCTAGTTAGTTTTCGAGGTTGTTAGTTTTTATATGTGTTTTTGTTCTTAAGGTTAGGTGAAAGTCTATGATTTTGAAGGTTTTGGATAACTTTTGGTGGAAAAAGACAGCAAACATAGCGCTTAGGTGCCAATTTTGTAGCGTTTTGGCGCTCAGTTTTACGGAACCAAGACATTTGGGCAGAATGGGCAGCGTTTTGGCGCCCATGACAGCGTTTTGGCGCCCAGGATTTTTCACAGCCAGCGCCGCAGTGCTAGGAGTTCAGCGCTGCGGCGCTGCGATGCGAGAAAAGATGCGTTTTGAAGGCCAAAACTTGCCCGTTTTGACCCTAATGCTTGAAAACATATAAATAGATGATTCTAGGGCAATTAGAAGGGCTTTTTGACTAGGGAGTGACGGCTGACCTTTGAGAGGAGATTCAAGAAGAGAAAAGAGATTTGAGTACGGAGAAGAAGAACGGCAAAAATCCGGAGACGGAGACGCTTCAATTCAACTCCAAACTAGTTCTTTTCTTTCCTTTCCAATGATTAAGACTTTGTTTAGGTATTTATTTTGTTTAGAGATGAACTAATTTCTTTTTCTAGGGCTACGATGTAGCAAGATTATGAATGTTCAAATTCTCAATCTTCTTTTTAAGTAATTGATGTTTAATCCATATATGCTGAGTATTTCAATTTATTCTTAATGCTTGTGATTGTTTGGCCAACTATTACATGATTTTGTATTTGATTTGAGACTGAGAGGTGATAATTAAATAAGCTCTGTTGTTCATAGGATAGAGATATCTATGATGCTTGTGCAGTTCTTTTGAATTTCTTGCACTTAATGATTTTCAACAGGTTTAGAAGTCTGTCAGAGATGTAGATTTTGCTTGTTGGATTACTATTATTGTTGCTTGAGAAAGAATAATAATTACTTTAGAGAAATTGCTGTCAGTATAGGATTGAATGTTAATTTTCTTGAATTATGAGAATTTGAACATGATTAATTTTGGTGAAATCGGAAACCCTAGAGTCTTAATCTATTGAATTTTCTTCCATTGCTTAGCATTGTTTAATTTATTTAATTATTTTAGTTTTGCTTTACGTAATTTTATAAACTCTCTTTTTAAGTATTCAAATAAAATTAGGGTTAATATAATTTCGGTGATTAGTAAACAACAATTCTCGTGAGACGATATTCTTATTCACTATTATATTACTTGGTTGCGATAGCGTATACTTGCGTTACAATTTTTCACAACACCCGTCTCAAAAATTTTAGTTGAAAGGAAAATTTGGGGCAAAAAAAGTAGGAAATAAAAAATTGATTCTATTAATTAAATTGTTTTGTGTATCTTAAGGAGGCAGTCCAACCTTTTTCCAAATAAATTATGGGAAAGGTGTATAATTTTTCAACTCTCCTCGATCTCGAGAGCCTTCGGATTTCCATTGATACTCTGTTGACCCAAAAATAAATAAAATAAACTCCCGACTTCGATAACAGAATCACCCAACCTATTAACCAACCAAACTTTTAGGTAATGCCGTTTAGACGTTTAGTTGACTAACGCTTTACCACTTATATGATAATAGCTAACCCCGGAATTTTTACCACTAGTTTACCCCATTTAAGCTTATCTGACCCTTTTTCTTTTATTATTCACATAAATTAACCTAGCCATTTTATGAATTTCCTTCACTTAACCTATCATTCATAGGCATATTTGCACCATTGCATAAAGTTGAAGATATAATTTTTGAGAGCAAGCTTAAATATGTTGAGAATTTCATTAGTGGTTTGGGTGTAATTGTTTAGTGTTTGTTATTGCTTTTTCTACGTTTATTTCTTATATGTTTTTTTATCATTTTATTTTCTCTTCAAATTCAAAAAAAAAAAGGAGAATAAAAGAAAAAAAAGAGAAAAAGAACAAAAAGTAAATAAATTCTTATGAATTTCTTGTTTTTGTGTTTTTGTGGCTTTTATGAATAAAGTTTTGTGGGAATGATGGGTAATAGAGAATTGAGCAAAGTGAGAGTTGGTGTGTGAGTTTCTAATCATTCATACAAGATCCATGGGTGCACTTGATGCATAGGGTGATTTAAGCCTAAAAATTTCCGTCTCATCCACCTTTCATCCTAGCCTTACATTACAACCCATAAAAGACCTTTTGCTCTTTGATGACACTCTAGTTGACATTAGCGGAGAGCGACACGAAAAATGGGCATATGGTAGTTCTTAATTGCATTATCTAGAGATCTTTCATCGTCCGTAGAAGCACTTAGGTCTATCCAGGTAAAATTGACTAAGTGAGACTAGTTCGGCACACATTGAATGGGGTGAAATCGGTGCTTGATGTTGAAATTCTAGAAAATCTCAGTGTTTGCATTTTCTTTGAACTTTGATGCATTGCATGGCTTTTGAGATGTATGCCTAGCTATCGAATGGATACAAAACTCACACTTTAGTCTTTAAGTTATTGTTAGTTTACATTGTGTTCTACTTTATTTCTATTTTCTTTTGCTTGAGAACATGCAAACGCTTGAGTTTGGGGGTATTTGATGAGGAGGTTATTTACCGACAAATCAAGTATTTTTTCGTTGAAACATTTGTGAATCTTCAATCATTTTTGTTAGTTTAATGTGTTTTTAATGTTATTTTGTAAGAAAAAATCATAAAATGGGACTTAGTGGCATTTTAGAGTCAAAAATTGGAGCAAAAAACACTCAAGGCCGCACAAGGGCCCAGTTTGACAGAACCACATGTACGCGCACTAGCGCCACACCCTGCGTGTTTGTGCCACATTGGGCGCGCAACTAGCTGCGCGGCCACACCCTCCTGTGTGATGTTGACGAACTTGTGGCTATTTTTCAACCCTTGATCAATATGTATGGCTAATTTTGGACCC